TTTAAGCCAGGATGATAGGTTTGCAGAGCTGGTGGTCTGAAGGTTGAATCTTGCCTCTTTTTTGCGTGGGGTGGGTAGTGCTGGGAATTGAGCATGGGCCTTGCTTATGCGAGGCAAGCGCTGTTTATCAGTGAGCTATATCCTCAGCCATAGGTTGGCTTTAATGGCAATAAACCACAATGGATGAACACTAAGCCCAGCTGATTCTAGCAAAGAGCAGAGGTGCAGACCAGCAACAGCGACGAGGCTGTGGCTCTCAACATATTAAAAACCCTATGGTCCTCAAAGGATCAGGGCTGGAAGAGACTTTAGAAAAAAAAAAAAAAAAAAAAACAACCAAAAAACCCAGCTCCATTACAGAGAAACTTGTGTCATTCTGTCTATTCCCCCACCTGCTTAAAAAGACTCTTGCCCTCCTTGAACTGGTACTGGGCTCATTTCAAAAGTTACCACCTCTCCGAAAGTTTCTTCCAGACCCAGTCTGTGACTCACTCCTCTAGGTTCTTTCAGGTCTCCTCACTTGTTCAGAATAGGGCACCTGGGGGCCAAAGCCCTGTCCACCTCCTTTGGCTGTGCAGCCCTGGTATCTGGTATACTTCAATTAATTAAATGAATAAATTAAAGAAAACCTGGTTTCAGGAGCAGAGAAGAACAAAGAAACAGGTTCTTCTTTGGAACAGGCTGGTACAAGAGGACCTTCCTGAGCTTTAGATTTCTTAAGAAAAGTAAGAGTGAATGACATCACAAAGTAAAGATGAATTACCTCTCAATCTCTCATTTCATTTATTTTTAATAAGAATTAGTCATAGGGAGGTTTCTGCTTTTGTAAACTAAAAAAATACATATACTTTTAATAGATTTCCACAATTTAAATTTTAACCTAACTCATGATTGCCACCTTCTGGCAAAATAGTTGAATGTCTATTGAAGATAAAAGCTGGAAATAATGTTTTTAATCTCAGATACTTTAACAACAAAACTGTTAAATCTAGAAATTTAGTCTGCACACTCTATGGGATTCAGAGTAACAATGTTAGCTACATTAAACATTCAGCTCTAGAATCCTCTCTCTGTACTGTGCCTCTACTCATGTGCTTAGAATCCATTTTCAAATATATTTTTAGTTCACTTTGTGTATATTAATTCAGTATCATTACCATGGGGGAAAGGCTACATAGTGCTAAGGCTGTGTGAATGGGGAGACAGGAAGGAGAAAATCATTTTCAAACAGCACAATATTTTTAAAAATTCTTAAAAGAATAAGAAAAGCAAAAGATTAAAAATTAATACCAATTGAGCACATTAAGACAACTGGTTGGAGAGACTAAAACAGATTATGGTCTTAAACTCGAATACTTTATTTTACCATACAGCATTTCAAAGACATAATTATATGTAAATATGTTAGGAAGCAGAGGGGGCAGAAAGCGATACTGAGATTTAGTAAGTTAATCAATAAACTGTGTGCTAAGTGTGTACCTGTAAAATTGGGGGGTAGGCTGCAAGGTACTATGCGTGCTAGTACACATCTTGGAAATAAGCAGGATGAAAAATAAAGTTCAATTATGAGGGGGAAATATCTAGATATATATCTAACTGTATCTATATGATATATATGACCTGTATCTAGACATCTCCTCTTCAGAAAATATCATGGATGCATGGTGCGAGGCATATAATATAAAGTGAGAAACGAACTACTTCCCTCAACATAATCACAATGTGTTGAAGAGACAGAAAGACTGCAACTAAAGTTGTATGTGACGACAACATGACAGAGACTGACACAAAACCAGATATATGGATCAATGGAACAGAATAGAGGATGCAGAAATGACCTCACGTACATGCAGGTATCTGATCACTGACAAAGGTCCAAAAACTTATGCTGGAGGAAAGACAGCCTCTTTAGCAAATGGTGCTGGGAAAACTGCTAGACACACATAGAAAGTTGTATCTAGGCTCATATCTCACACTATTCATTAAACTAAACTAAAAATGGGTTAAAGGTATAAACCCTAAAACAAACAATCTGCTGACAGATAAAGTAGGTAAAACTCTTGAAGACAGATATAGGCAAGGACTTTCCAAACTGAACTCCAAGCACGCTGAATAGAGGCACAGTACAGAGGATTCTAGAGCTGAAATAATACCAAGAATCCATAAATGGGATCTTAGTAAATTAAAAAGTTCCTGCACAGCAAAGGGAACAATAAATAAAGACAAAGCCTACAGAATTGGAAAAAATATTTACCCAGCTATACCTTGGACAGAGAACTAATATCTGGAATGTACAAAGAGCTAAAAGAAAACCCCAGATGCCCCAAAATAAAAGAACCCCATCTAAAATGGGCAATTGAAATAAACAGACACTTCTCAGAGGTACAAATGACCAATAAATACATGAAAAAATGTTCAACATCTTTCACCACTACAGAAATGCAAACTGAAACAACACTGATATTCCACCTCACTCCAGAAATAACAGTTGTCATTAATAAATCAAATATGTAACAACAAATGCTGGTGAGAGTGCAGGGAAAAAGAATCCTACTACACTGCTGGTGAAAACGTAAGCCAGTGCAAGTACTATAGAAATCAATAGGGAGATTCCTTAGCACTAGAAATTCCACTTGACCCAGCTCTTCCCCTTCTAGATATCTTCCTGAAAGAGTCAAAGTTACCATATTATACTGATACACCTGGCAAGCATGAGGTCATGAGTTCGATTCCTGATACCAAAAAAAAGAAATAGTGATACATGCATATCCATTTTTATAGTAGCACAATTCATAATAGTTAAAACTTGGAAGTGGCCTATACGTCTGTCAATAGATGAATGGATAAAGAAAATGTGATATTTATACACAGTGGAGTATTACTCTGCCATAAGGAAGCATAAATTTGAGTCATGTGTAGGAAAGTGGGTGAACTTTAAGACCATAATGTTAAGAGAAATAAATCAGGCAGCTTAAATATCAGTTTGTCTTATATGAGAAACCTGAAGTACAAATAAAAAGCAAGATAAAATACAGGTGACAGGAACGGGGAGACAGGTCTTTTGTCATAGGGAAAGAGACTGAGAGTCAGAGGGAGAAGGGACAGAGGGAAAGGAGAGGGAGTGAGGGAAAGGGAAGGAAAAGGAATTACGATGCGTTATACACAAGTATCAACTCCCCGTGGTGACTGTCATCACTGCGTACCACAAACATGTACCAAATAAAACACCAATTTAAAAAATTAGATGAAAGAAAAAAACAACTACATGACAGAGAGAACCACCCGCAGCTAGACTGTGACGTTTCCAGCACATATAAGGGGGCAGGACACATGAAGAACAGAAGGAAACAGTCCCGGGAGGGATCTGTGGTGCTAGCTGCCTCTCACCACCGGAAGCACAGGGTACCTAGACAGAGGAGGCAGGAACAAAGCCAGTCTTTACCTGCCTGGATACAGGATCAGGTGAACTGCAGCTCCCCTGCTGATTTGGTTCTATGCTGTACAAACACAAGTATGGTTGAAGGAATTAGGTAACCGGGGAGTTCTCAGTGGAAAGTTCCAGGTGAGAGTGAAGGCACTTGAGTGCTTCTGAGCATAACACTGGACTAAGAGAAGCCCCTCTCTTATGAGCTGTGCAATCCTGGTCAAATTACTTAACCTCTCCATTGCCTTATCCCTTCATCTGTAATTAGGGATAATTAGCACCTCAAGGGATTAGTTTGGCTAATAGATGAAAGTGCTACAAATAGTATCAGACACCGTAAGTACTACATAAAAATGTTCGCCATTATCAGTTAAGGAAGCAAGATGTCTTGCTATTGCTATAGCACCAAACATAGTGTATCTGCCATTTAAAGGCTGAACAGCCTCAGTTTCTTTACCTATAAAATGGGGATATTTATAATAAGGACAGAAACAACAGAGGGGAAGCTGGATATGGCAGCACACACCTACAATCCCAGCACTTGGGAGGCAGAAGGATTATGAATTCAAGGCCAGTCTGGACTACATAAGGACATCCTGCCTCAAAACACACAACAAAATAACAAAAAACAAAACAATACACACAAAAAAGAAATGAGGAGGGATAGGGTTATGTCAGCATAGTACAATGGCAGGCCAGATGATGGCACTGGGTTACTCACTTTCATATTGTTTATTATTAGCTATAGAGTCACACAAGCTGTATCACCGTATTATTTTATATTACATGTTGTATACACATGTTAAGTCTAAGTGCACATATATGTGCATGCAACATGTACATGCTGATGTGGACATGCTCCATGTCCTCAGGGATGCAGAACCATGCAATACACTGGTGAGGAAATTGTCAGACTGGCCAAACCACGATCCAAAACTGTACAGTGAAGATCTATACACAGTGATGCCTAATTCCAGAGATTTCAGCAACATGTTAACTCATGCTAAGAATAATTAATGCTTAGGCAGCCAGAGGTGAATCAATAGTAAATAGTGTATCAAGATAGTCTCCTTTTTATTCCAGGAGTCCTGTTATGGTTTGTGTCTAGACGTCCCCCTAAAGCCTCATGTATTCATGAGGGGGCTTTTCAGAGGTGGCTGAATCTAGAGTATGTGGTGCTGGAATCAAGGGTGTGTGATTAGTAAATCAGTCCACTGACTGATTTGGCATAATTCTGCCTAGGACTAAGAGTGTGAGTGCTACACCTGCCCTAGGGTGGGTAGCCTGCATACAATATAAGGGACAGAAAGAGCATCCCCCAACCTTGTTGCTTTGCCGTCTTCTCTGCTGCCATGAACTGTTGCCCCTCTGCCATGTGCCACCCTGCCTTGCAGCCAGCTGATTATTGCCTGAAACTTCCATAGACTGTGAGTTAAATAAACCTTTCCTCCCTCTAACTTTGGGTGTCAGGTATTTTGTCTCAGCAATGAAAGAAAAGACAGAGAGGTCCCTTGCGCAAAGACTGGACCTTTACGGAGACCACGCGATCTGCAGATCAGGACAGTTACCCACGCACCTTTTCAATGAGTTCGTAACTCTCCTCCAGTTTGAGAAGCCTGTTCTGCACAGATGTGGACGCTCGCTGGTAGACAGCTCGCCACTCCTGGAAGTCACTCTCAGAAATCTCAGCCACAGCAAAACATAATGTCCTCAAACCTGCAAAATGCAGCACATACCTGTCAACACACTGAAGATTTTATTCATAAGTCTGATGTTTCCATTATTTAACAAAAAGTCATCTTGAAATGACCTTTCAATTTTTATTTATTTATTTATTTGTTTGTTTGTTTGTTTGTTTGTTTGTCTGTACCTGGAATCAAACTCACCACCTCACACTTGCCAGGCAGGCGCTTGTGCCACTGAGCTATATCCTCGGCCCGACCCTTCAATTTAAATACTCAGACTAATTCAATTTAAATACTATGCTCAAGTCCAATTCAATTATGACAAAACCTTGGTATAAAGTACCTATTAATGTTCCTTTAGCTTTTAAAATGGGCACTTTGCTTCTAATTCTCAGTCCTTTCAATTCAGTCCCTTACCCACTTAGTGATTTTTCCAAGATCTTATCCGATCAACCTTTTCTTTTGTTTAAATCTCCCAACTGAACCGCAGGATGAGATCCAAATCCCAAAGTATGGCTGAAACGTATTTCACTATCTGCCTTCAACCTCAGAATGGCAAGGAACGGTCACCTTTTTCTATTCACTTTCTCAAACTCCCTTCTGCTGTTTGCCTTGTACCTACTCTAAGAGTAGGTTTTAAAAATCATCCTTTTAAAGCATCTTCCAGAAAAAAAAAAAAAAAAAAGCACCTTCCGATTAATCAGACTCTTTAGGTAAAAACCCCCTAACATTCCTATGTGAATGACAGTGTTTCGTGTGGTTTTTCTTGGGGGTCGTCTCTATTAAATTAAAGCTCCTGGGAACTAAAGGCACAGAGTTCTCCTTTCTATTATAAATGTATAGTAAAAAGTTAAAGTTAAATATAGCTGCAGGATAGTGAGGACAGTTGCAGCTCTCAGTCACTCCCTGGGAAAGTGACACAGCTCATGTTGGAGGTGACTCCCGCACCCTGCATGCTCAATCCCCATCAATCCCCATTTCTGGCTCAATCTCTTGGCCAGAAAAAGCAGATGGGTTGGAAGAAGGAAGAGGCAAAAGCATTTGTCAGCCATGCAAGGAAGCAGTGATTCTGGTTCCCAAGAAAACAACTCCCTTGGGCAAGATCATTTAACACTTACAATGACCAGGCCCAGACACCAAGCCTTGTGATCTCAAGTTAAATAAAATAATGTTCAGGGGACTATGTCAGAAGCAAGAAGCAAAGAAGACAGGACATAAATATCCAGGGAACTCTATCTTCCGAGGAAGGAACAGAGTTCTTTATTGCTGGATCACTGAGAGTGGGACTTAAATCTGTGAGCCCATGTTAGGACATGTCTTTCTCTTTCAGAAACTTGACTGGAAAACTTCTTTGAGGGTAGCCACAGAGGAGAAGGGTCACCCAGGCCAGGAAGAATGGGTGACGATGAGGGCCAAGCCAACTTAAACATGAGAGCCAGAATACCTGCAACCTCATAACCAGAAAGGGGGAAGATGCCCCAAACCTCTTCCTCCCCAACCAATCCAGATCAGATCAGTGCAGACCAGACCGGACCAAACTAAGTCAGACCTGTGCCATATGGTGAGTAGGCTGAACTTGACAAGCCCGGCTGAGAAAGCTGAACTCAGGGCATCTGTATGTTCTTACATTTTGGATGACTGGGAGAAAGTTCTTTGTGTCATTCCTTTTTAAAGCCTCTCGTCCTCTTATTTATTCCTATTTGGTATGATGTTTTTTTAAAAGCATTCCTATCTGTTTTAAACTTGGATCCAGATGGAAAAAAAAAAAAAAAAGATCTGATCTTTTAGACTTGAGCCATGGGCAACTATTCTAGCTGAAACAGACAGTAAAAACTCGAGATGGAAGATTCAGATACAGCTATGACCACTGACATCAAGGCACAGACAAGACTCTAAAACTTCTTGTAGTAGCTGATCCTTCATGTCTAACAACCCTCACTTCGTCTCTTCTTATCTGCATCATCTTCCTGGACTACGTACTGTGTGACTTCACACGTCGTATATTTCAGGACAGAGAGACAGGGCTAAGCTCGTCCATCATACACTGTGAAGCCTCACACAAAGCCTGGCACAGGGCAGGGGCTTCATAAAACATGCTGAGCTGTAACTAAATTTAATGCTTGTTTTAAAAGTCATACAAGTTTAATTATTTCTTCTTTTTTGTATTTAGTTTAGAATACCACCTCAGTTCTTTGACTCTTGCTTCTTTCCTAACAAACTATTTAGATATAAGGTCAAGTGCTTCAAGTAAGTTATATCCATTCTAGGAAATAAAACAGATTTGTAGACATCTAAAACATGGAGACTGAAACTGCCAACATTTTAATAAGTATAGTTTTAGGAAAGTAAAATAAAGATACTATATGGGAGCAACACATAGTAAAATCCAGGTTATTAACAATAATTGATACTTCAGGAATCTCTAAATAAAACAGAAACAGTGGCTCTGTAAGATATCAAAAGTATATAACTTCTTTGCATCTTAAACATCCTTTATGAACGACGATTAAGGAGAATACTCACCTTCTGTAGCAAATTGCTCCAAATGTTTTAGGGTAATTTCTTTGTATTTTGAAGTCTCTGCAAGTCGTTCATAAATTACAGTATCCTAGAAAACAAGCAAAAGGTATAATGTCATTAATTAAGCCTTTTGAGCTTACTAAAGTGGATACTGGCAACATTATTAGTAGGAAAGCAATACAAAAAGAACCAATCACTTTCAGTGTTCTTCTTTAAGCACAAAATACTGCATTGATGAGTAACATCGATTCCCTAAAGACATGCGGAAATACAGCTGAACCAGTGTATCTGCAGGTCCCACATCCATGGAGTCAACCAACCACAGAGAGAAAATGAAGTCAGGCTTATGAAAGCTTTGTTGGTACTGAAAATGTACAGACTTTTTTCCTTGCTATCATTCCCTAAATAATACAATACTGTGTAATGATTATTTAAAAAATACTTATATCAGGTATTAAATTGATCTAGAGATAATATAGGATACCTGTAGCTATATGTAAGTACTCTGCCCTTTTATACACAGGACGTTAGCATTCACAGATTTTGGCCTCTGTGGAAGTCCAGGAAGTGATCGCTTGTGGACACTGAGGGCAGGTTTTAGTCCTGCATTTTCATCTTCTTTTGGAAGATATCTCTAGTTATTCCAATGTTCAAAACCTCATATTCTACCCACACCTCACTGTCTGTATACTCTGAGTTCCCCTCATTCCCGAAGATTCTGCAGAACTCTGGAAAGTTTAGGGAATACTGGACTGAACAAAGCTAAGGAGCCTGTCTTGCTGCAACACTTCTAAGGGCCTTTAGAACAGTGATGTCCACAGCAGACCTCCCAGGGTATGTGTCCCAAACTCACTTGACCATAAGACCTTGCCGGGGCTGGAGGACCTTCACAGTGTTGGTGCTGACAGAAGAACAAACTTTAAGTATCACAGGACTGGTAAATTCACTGAGAGAGCCAGTGGGACAGTGAGAGAACTTTTGACTAACCATAAACTAACTTAAATAGCTGACTATTTCTAATTGTGCCATTTCAGCTTTAAGACTGTTTGCTTAACTTGCAAAATAAAATTACAGGGTTATTTTTAAAGTCTCTTTTAGCCTTAGTTTTAGACACCATTTATTTTTCTCTAGTTCTCGCTACTTTATAAATTGACTATTGTTCTCTTAGTTATTTTCTGGCTTTGGTTTAATGTTGTTAGGAATTTTAGTATTCAGCTTTCACAGTTTTATTATACCAGGAAAAAATAAATCATTTACCTGCAATTACTTTCTCAGTGGTATTACCCATTTTGGGGTCTCCAGTCTCAGGACTGAGATTTCAAAACAGACTAATGGAGTATGATTTAGAACCCTTGAGAGAAACAGAACTTAGTGACCTCAGAACAGATGGAATATTCCAGGCTCCAATTATGAATTTCATTTCATTTTTCAGTGGCGGAATGGGAATGGGGCAAGGCAAAAGGAAATGATAATTTCCCCTTATGGCTCCTTCCTGGGAAGGAAAGGTATAACTTATAAAGTCTTTTCTCCCAGAGGCTAACAAAATTTTTAATGATATTAATGTAGGCCATTTTTAAGCTAAGAAAATGTTTTAAGAATTAAAATCAGAAAAACAAAAGCAATTAAGTAACAAAGTTAGGGATATTAAACACCGCAGTGTATCCAAACATTCTAGTAAAAGAAACTGATGCTTAGAATAGAAAAAATTGATTTTCTATCTTCTTTGTAGAACTGAAATAGACAAGGGCCAGAATGTGGCACATTAAACGTGTATTAAATATGTTGTATGTTTTTAACTGTCAGTCACAACTGGCTGGTCATGTTTTTGCATAAGAAATAAGCATTTAGATACTTTAGACAAGTAACATTCCTTATTCAGAGGGCTACATCAAGTATTTGGTGCATACTAGGTGCTAACAAATGTTTCTTCCCAGACACTAAAACATGTACATGCCACAGGGTTAGACTTAGAACCTCCTGAGTCTGTGGTTGTGGGATCCTCACTGGATTTAGTTATCTTGTGACCTGATCCCTATAAAGGTAAGAGAAAATCATGAGGCTCCAGCATCGCACCATCAAATTAGTCACTGTGTAAATAGTCTAGGGCTTGGAGGAAAGTTAAATTCATGATTAAAATTCCATCTGCAGTGCATTTTCATTTGAAAAGTTGTTGTTTGCCTGTTTGCCATTTAGAATAAAGTTCAAATACTGATCTGTTCCCAGAATGCATATTAAAAATTATTTGTTAAATGGATAAAGTATTTGATGCAACCTTCAATCATTTTGAACTGTCACTTACATGGAGTACCATATAATGCAGTATTACCAAAAAAGGAAAGATGGAATCAAAAGACACAAGTGTCAACAATAAGAAAGCAGTAGTCAAAAACAAATTGGCCTTAGATACAGTATTCATATGTGCAAAAATATGCAGTTTATATTAAAATTATCTGGATAATTTTACTATTGTGAAAATAATTATGCAAAATAGAATCATTCCTGTTATGCTCTGCTAAGACTGCATAGGAAAAAACAGCAAAGGTCACAGATGCCTGCTTTCTCTTAAAACCAATCCACTGAAACAACCTGACCTGACTTTAAGACTACTGTACTTTACTTAGCAATTGACAGTGGAACAACCAGCTGTGTCTTGAAGACTAGCTTTATGAAACTTCCCCCCAAATAACTTGTATAGATTTTTCTAACCTTGTAAGACCCCAAACCTCCTTTTGTTTTTTGAACATGTCAGAGGCCACTGTAACCTATGCATAGATGTCTTAAATTGCAATTCTATTGTTGTGTTCTGCTTCCAATTACAAGTTGTTTTTCGAGATTCACTCTGCAATTTGGTTTGATTTTGACATGATAAATTAGCAAAGTGACATTAAGGACTATGAATTGCTGTCAGGTTAATCAACAAGGCGAGACTGACCTGCTGCAAGAAGCACAGGCCGCTCTGACCTGAAATGCACACAAACTTGGTGTTTATGTGTGACATTCATCATTATCTGTACTTTGTCTCTGCTGTCTTCTCTCTGCTTATTAAAGGCAACTAATTTCACCTAATGGGTCTTCTTGTGGATGGCAAAGAATTTCATGTAAGAGACCCTTAATTTGAAATTCCTACAGTATTTAAGCTTATTAATTGAATTTCTAATTTTTCTGTACTGTAAAACTTTTAAAGTAGAATTCTTGCTTTCTTGAATAAATTAAAGTTTTATTTGTGTAAATATAGCTTTTTCTAAGTTAGCTACTATTACACATATAAACTGCATATTGTGTTCTCTTTTGTCATTTAAAAATTAACAAAACAATTTCACTACAGAAAGGCTAGAAAAAAGTAGGAAAAGCAAGTCATCCCTAAACATACACACACCCACATACATTAAGAGCTGCTATGTCTTTACACTGTACTCTCTCCTATCCCTTCAACCATGCCCAACTTGAAGTTTATCCCCTTTACTGATTTTTAAAAACTATGACTTTAAATTTACCTTCCATCACCATTTCCCCTCCTGATTTCTTTTTTTATTAAAAGTACTTGGAATTGCTTTATCTTTGAGCTTTTAGTGTCCCTGGTCATCACACTACTCTATGAGAATGAGTCCATGTTCCAGCTGTTGATGGAGCTCAGTATGTCCCTCTGCATAAGACTGCCTCACATGCTTCTGAGCTCTGCTCCTGCTGTCCCTCTTTGCATGTGTGCCAACCCAGTGGTTTCGCATGGCCTGGACTGAGGCTGGCGAGAGCTTTCCTTAGCCTTTTCTTATGACTGGGGAAGCTCAGCAGTGTCCTTGGCGTCAGAGCGGGGAGGCTGGCTCCCATCTCAGTTTACACCAATGCTATTTGCCCCCTTGCCCTACAGAAGCCATTTTTAACCACCGCTCCTTGATTTAAATCCCAGAGCCTGGGACTCCCACCCAGGTCAAGACTTCATTTCAATAAATCACTTAGATTTTCTATGTCTATTTTCGTCTACAAAGACATTTATCTTGTTTTGGAGCCTAGGTTTATCTATTTTCTCTTTACACTAAAGGTATCCATCATTGCTATAACTTTGGAGTAGAGGGGATATATCACAGTAGGAACACATTATACTATCTTGACTGGAATATATCCTATCTTTTTGCAGGGGGGGGAATTTGGGGATCTTTTTTGGAAATTTTTATTGTTATTAATGTTTGCAGAACAGAATGATTCTCTTGTGGAGAGTTGGTACATGTACATAACTCACCCTAATTCTTTTTACATCCTGTTTCCCTCATCTCCTCTGAATGAACCCTGACTATGTAGGTTTTTGGTTGTTCTGTCCCTGTTGGTTATTCGCTCTACCAAGGAATGAACAGGCTCCTTAGATTCTCCTTCAGATCTCAGTATGCTTCCCGGTACTGCTTTTCACTTGTAGCCCTCCTCTCACTTAGGGTGCTATTTTCTTTAAACAAGATTTTACCGATCCCTGCTTTTAGTTTCCAGCTACACTTAAGTTCTAATGCTGCATCTGCACCCAGATTTCTTCCTCCATAAAACTGAGGTGTATCTGCTGTACAGTCTGAATGTAGCCCCCATTCTCTGTCGTGGTAAGAACTTACCCACCTCAGTCCACTCTGCAAGCCAAGAAGTCTATGATCCCAGATAATCCTTTCCCTCAGCACCCACCGGCCATCAACTACTAAGTCCTAAATCTTTTACCTCTTATCTTTTCCACAAAGGCCTGGGTTCATCCTTAATCAGCTCTTGCCTGGTCTGTCAGCAGTGGCCTCAACTGGAGCTCTGTGTGCATCTGTTTTCAGTTTTAAATCGCTTTCCCAAATAGCAACGGAACGATCAAGGAGAAAGTGCAAGTTCTCAAGCAAGGAAAAAAATGACGCAAACCACACTCACTTTCTATCTCATATTCAGCTATTCCGTGCCAAATTACAAATAGTTGTCACACATTCCTTGCTGTTTTACATGTTTGTGCCTTTTTACTACTTACCCACATCTCACAACCAATTTGGGTGTGATGGAAAACAATGCTTTAAGCAAGTTAGTATATACATACTACTTCTGTGATTACTAACAAAAGAAGTCCAGTGGTTTTGTTCTTTATTTAATGCTTCAACTTCCCAAAATTTATAGGTAGAAGATTGCTGAAACCTAAAAAAGGAAGGATGTGATTTGGGTGCTGTAAACCAGAGATGTATCAACACTTAAAGTGTTGCGCATGTTGCCGTTCGGATACAGAAGAGCTTTACAATGTACCTTATATTATACCCTAATCTTCTCTTTCCACACATTTCCCTGGCTAATCTGATGCTCTGGACACACTGTACGTCTTATCTTCACATCTCCAAAATCCGGTTCAGTGTCTGGTGTTAAAATGTTCTCAATGAATAAGTGTTAGATGTTAAGTGGTCAATGGGAACACAAAATGAAAAGAATTGTAAAACTAAATTCATGAGACATCATGAAATAATTCTACCAAAATGCTGGAAAACTAGACATCTAAAACTCGCTTTTCAATGCTTTAAAACTAAGGCAATCTAAACAGGAATTTAAATGAAAGACTTGGGCTTCTTAGGTTTAGTTTCCAAATTTCCATGGTATAAAGCAAAATTGTTGATTCTCTTTAAAATTGCGAAGTTCTAAGCTGGAAGATTTACAGGATAGGTATCAGGAAAGGACAATTTAGAAGGGAAACACTGACTGATCTTAGCAAAGAATCTAGTCAGTATATTTTTCATTTTTCCCTACGTGTAAACATATTTTACCTAAGAAAATTCAGTTGGAATACACATTACTAATTCTGTCAATATAGCCTGCCAATATACCCAGGCCAACCAATGACCAGAAATTCTGTTATAATTAAAACAATCAAAGACAAGCAATAATCAGTAAGTGCAATAATTGAGATTCAATTTTTTCCCAATTCTATGTTTGTTGAAGTCCTATCATCTTGTATGGTAAAGCTCTGCATCATTTTCAATTTTTTTTTCTTAATTACATGTTACTGTCTCTGATTGTTTGATCAATCTTACATTCGTATGTCTAATGGACTGAGCAACTCACTGAAGATAACAGTATGTAATGTAGCAACCACTGTTAATTCCTATCATTTTGTTTTGAGGTCATGTATGGTTTTTGTTGTTCTTGTGTTGCTTTGATTTTATCTTCATTGTTGTTCTATTAGTTTTTTTTAATTTTTAAAATAAAAAAACATATGGAGTTTTAATCCTTGCATTCTAGTATAATTTTAAAATAATTTCTGTATTGTCTGTTAATATAGTTTATATAATATAAACCTCAAATATTACTTATAAAAATTGAATTACAAAAATAACCTAGTCCAAACTTTTTTTTTGTGGTGCTGTGGCTTGAACCCAGGGCCTTGTGCATGCAAGGCAAGAACTCTACCACTGAGCCACATCCCTAGCCCTAGGCCAAACTTTTTAAACACACCAAATTGACCCTGAAGGAATTCCACATTTTACCAGAAGAGGCTGAACACTGTTACTATAAAACACCAACAAAAGCAGATGTCAGCAACTTCATGTTAAACATCTGTGTTACATTTCCACAGCAGAATGCCTAACATGTATTATTATAAAGCATCATAAATCAAAACAGTAAAAGACAAAAATAAAAACTTACAGCTCCTTTGCAGTAAAGTCGTAACTTCCCGGATGGAGTACGAACAATCACTGACATTCTTTTCCTAGCGCTGAAAGAAAGGGGTTTTCCACAATGTGCCGTCATATTGAGGATATGCATACATAGGCTTGTCATGCCTCACATATTTTAATATTCACAGTGAAAAAATAAATTAGACAAAAATATGAGTCCTACCCTCCCACATATACAAACCACCCCCTGAGTGAACAGTTGGGTACACTTGAAAGTTACATTATGGTTTTTAACCCACTAGGGTACCATCTATTGCCCTGGAGGAAAAATTTCCAAACAGCTCCCTAGAAACCCACAAGAGTTAATACCCACCAGAGCAGAGCAGAGCCCTGCCCCATGTTTTTAGATATATTAAAAATAAATTACAAGTTACATCAATTTTGAGCACATAATCACACATAATGGTGAAAGACAATTTAGGCATTTAAAATTACTGTTTTTCAAAGATTACATCAGTCCCCTCTCCTCCGATAGGAATACATTACAAGACCCCCCAGTGGATGCCTGAAACAAGAGATAATACTGAACCTTACATGTCCTGTATTTTTTCATATACATACAGAACCATGACAATTTATAAATTGGACACAGAGATTAATGACTAATAATATAGACCAATTATTATGATATATTATGATAAAAGTTGTTTAAAGCTTACAAACTGTTTACCTCCTAAACTTTCCCTTTAATAATTTTGGAGTTCAGTGGACCACAGAGATTTGCAACTGTGGAAAGTGAAACCTCCCATTAGGCCAGATGACAGTGCTTTAGAAATACATTTAATTGGGTCTCCTCTGTCATGACACATGACATCACTCTAACTCAGCCCTTCTTGACTTGTGCCCCTCTTAATCAACTTTGGAACAATGGTCCCAAACTCATCAACTTCCTTGTTCTTTTCTTCTCCTGGCAAAATCCCCAATGGTACATGGCGCCCTCTTTGGTGGTCGCAGATTGAGTGGACACTGCAGAGAAGTCATCCAGTCATGGAGATGAGCACAGACAGGACCTCTAATACCAACGAGGTGCTCCACACTGCACACCAACCTCTGCCTTTCTCTTGCTAAGAATCCTGCTCTCTTCCTCTCTGCAAGACCACACTGCACATTTTTTTCTGTTTTCCAAATCTTCCATACTTCTTCCTGAATCAGACTCTGAATTTTTGGAATTTATCTGCATGGAAGCCTTAGCCATGAAATCCCTTTTCTTTCTGCCATTTAAACCTCCATGTCTATCTATGCATGCACCATCTCTTTTAACTGCTTTCCTCACGGGGGGAAATATTTCCCACCTTATCAGAGGCCTTCCTTCCATGGAGGTGTCTGTGAACCTTCATGCCACATAAATCTCAGGGCCTTTTAACCATTTGTAAACCATGAGTTGCTATATAGTTTTGGATCTTAAATGTCCAACACATATGCCTCTGAAGCTTCTTCCCCGGGAGGTGTTGGGGAAATGGTAGAACCTTACGAGGTGCTACTTAAAAGAGGTGGGCTCTAGTGGGATGTATTAGTTCAGTGATGCTGTGCCCTGAAGAGCCTCTTTCTTGCTCTCTCTTCTGCTCCCCGGGTAGAGGTGAGGAGTTCTGCTGTGCCATCTTCCCTTGCTATGATGTGCTGCCTTAGCACAGGCTCAAAACAACCAGGTTAACTGGTCATGACCTGGACCCTCCAAACTTGTGAGCGAGATCAAACCTTTCTCCTTATAAACTGATTATCTCAGGTGTGCATTAAAGTATCAGGAAGCTAACACACCAGCCATCACACTCCTTGCTTTAGACTTGTGAATCAGACACATTTCCAGGACTTCTGAACTGCCACCAGAAGTCATGCACTATAATACTCTGAAGGAAGCTATTTATGACTTACCTACAGTATGACAAGTATTTTAATTTAATATTTTGCCTAAACAAATTTAGTTTAAGAAAAACAAAGCATATTCCAGTTAATTAAAAGGGAAAATGTAAAAATGCATGGAAATTTGTCTTATCTAGAGAAATTACAGAGCAGATATTTTACCTGGTGAACTCCAAGACATTCAGCAATTCATATCTTTCTTCCTGTCCCAGCTATGAAAGAAAAGAATACATGATTACATACAGTTGGAAATGCCTCGGGATCTTCAGAAATGAACACTGATTATTTATTCTTACTCTAAAAGTGTCAATACAAATAATTGCTTTCTTCTAAAATATGGAAGGAAACTTGGTAACCTTCAGAAAAATAGAAACATTAAAAAACAAGAGAGAGCCAAAAGAAATTCCAAATGCCACAGAAACAGATCTTAGAATCATACCAACTAGACAAGAGGACAGAGTTGCTCACAGAGAGAAGATCTGGTATGAATGTACTGCAAACCTGCACTAAGGAAGTATGGAGAACAATCAGTAATGCAAGGAAAATGAAGCAATTTTTGAAAAGGCAAAGGAGTTATCTTCAGCATATAAAAGGAAGAATTTATTTTTAGGAAATAATTTTGTGTTAAGAAAAAAAATTTAAAAGAAGGGAAAATTCTGAATAATGTTAGCTATGTATAGGCATATAAGACAATAAATAATTTTAAAATAAAATATCATTTATACTTAGTCAAACACACATAGCTCTTCATTGTATAGTTTAAAAAAGTTGTATCGCTTGACAAAGGCACAGTCTATGTTTTTTTTTTTTTTTTTTTTTTTTTTTTTTTTTTTTTTTTT